GCCCGTCGAAGAAAGTGTTCTTCTGCTGTGCGTTCGAACTCTAGTTTGCCAGTAGCTATTCTGTAACTTGATTTTGTAACTGACAGGGTGAAGGCACTTTGCGTTTAGTTTAGCATTCTTAGTGTACTCGAAGAAGAAACAATTAATGCATTTTAGTATGGCCCTGCATCTTTTCTGCGATTGACCCCATTTTTGGCACCGATAGCATTGGCCAATGGTCTTCCAAGAAGGTAACTTGTTTGCATCGAATACCTTGATGATACCTCTGAAATCATCGAATGTCATCGGGCAGATATAAATTTCCTCTATAGTTCACCTGTTTACATTTAAACTTTTGCCTTGATCAAATTGGCGATGTTCATCTAATTATCCATTGTGCTCAAAATTATATGAGCGATATGTTCTTTTTTGAGCTCACCTTCAAATTCTGCAGATGTAAATGCAGAAGAGAGCGAACAACTCTAAATTAAGCGCTTCGTTTGGCACAGTTTATCGCAGACATTCCTAGGAGCAACTTCAGCCGAAGTACCAATAATCAAACACAATCAAATTATTTCAATCAAAGACAAAGTTGATTTGGGAGTAAGGTTGATGGTAAAATTATTGTTGTTGGTTAACAACATGGATTTGAAAGTGCACACAATAATTAAGACACAAATCATCTAATTCATAGACAAATTATGGAGGGATACCTATGGAATAGGTCAATAGCTTCTTAAACTTTATCATTCAAGAATACATTTGGAAATGCCACGGAAATTTAGATAAATCGCAGGAGGCAAAAGCAAACAGGAAAAAGTTGTATTAATAATAAAAATGGAGGAAGGTAGTGAAACAGATTGATTTGCAAATTGATTTAATGCAAAAAACGACAAAAGTTGCAAGGGTATGTGAATGAAAACGGATAAAATAATCTTGGAAGGGAAGGCTCGTGCTAATAACAAAGATAAGAGCAAAAGAGAAAACAAGAGAACGGAGGATAAATTAACTGAAGACGAGGCAAAACAAATTGAAACGAATTTATTTGGAAAGGATGAGAAAATTGAAGAGGAAACGTAAGAAGGCGAAGAAAGTAAACGATATGCATGACGTCACCTTCCAAATGGAACTAAACTTGCTAAATCCAAAATGAGAATAGTGAACTTATTAAAAATAACATATTTCATATATACAGATATTTATTAGTTAATTTGCTTATTTTTTTCTCATATTTTAGCAGTTTTTATAAAAATATGTACAAAATTCATATTTATTTCTATACAATAAATATTTTATATGCAAAACAACATTTTCTTGCTATATTTTTTTGCTCATATATTAGAAGCTTTTTTACAGAATATATTTGCATTATTATATTTATTATAACATAGAAAGGCTATGTCACAACAGATTGGCCAGTGGCGCATTAAGGATAGTTGGGAACCCTTGCCAAAAAATACTAAAAACAATATTTAAATAAATAAATTTATTTAAAATACTATAGGTAAATGTTTTGGGTATCCAACAGCCAGGAGCATCTAGGCACGTTAATCATTGTCTTAGGTAGTCTTTCCCAAACATTCGCCATCTGACATATTTTTGTATTAAATATATCTTCTGATAATAGCAAAATAAAAAGTCGACTTGAATTTCTTTATCTTTATGGTATTTAACAAACGCCAAAAAAATTTCAAAATTCGCAATATCAGTGAAATTCGCAATATCGATGAAGTAACGAAGTTTTTTTTCTTATTTTATATGATTGTAATTGAAAAAAGAAAGGAGCTTGTATGCACAGCCAAAACCCGGTGCTGCACATAGTCCCATAATACTCTTCCCATCCCCCAGGGGGTACGTGTACCACACTTTGGGAAATATTAAGGCTACTGACCATAGTTACTAATATAGTGGAAACAAAGTTGTAATTTATAATCTTATCAATAAAATATAATAGTCACAGCAAAGATTTGAAAACCTGGTACTGCATGATTAACCATTGAAGTTCTAGTAAATTCCTTTTTTTTTCTCACAACTAAATACTACGAGAATGTTTTGTTTGGTTAATAGGTTAGTTATCCAGTATATACATGATGAAATAAAGGAACCATTTCTTTCTTTGAAAATAAATTAATAATATATGTCTTCTCCAATATATGCAAGGTGACAGACAGCTAGGTTATTCGATATTAGATTCACTTAGAATAACAAAAAAGTGAAAAAAAACTGAGTTAATGTAAGAAAATCAAAAATTAAACAGTAGTAGTAAACATTGAATTAATTTAAAAATACTTTTTTTTGTTGATTATGTCTGAAACATATACTATACCTGTCATTATTTTTAGGAACACGCTTACAATTAATTCAAAATTATATGATAACGTATTAATTCCACTCACGCATTCATTACAGGGTTGTAATATAAAAGGAGGAACTTGTAATATAATTCTCAGGATTGAAATCTCGCGTGTGGAGCGCACCTTTTGGAAGCCACCCCCCTCTCATACCACCTCACCCTGTCCCATTTGTGATGGCTTGTATACATCTTAATTACAGAAATGCGGAATACAGGTGTGTATAAGAGATTTTGGCAATTGGTATTCAAATTGGTATTCCCTATTCCGCGGGACGTGACCGAGTGTCAGATTCGAGGGGCCGTTTCCGTCAGGGTTCACGTGTTCCGATTGTAAAATTCACACATGTGCCGTCGAATAATCGGTTCAAATTATTCCGGTGGAATTCGCGTATCGCACAGAGCGTGGAGGTTCCGCGGGGGGAGGCGGATTGCGCTCCACCGCCTCTACCATCCCCTGCCCCAAAACGCGAACGGCCCGAGCCATGCCCTGGGAGGGGCCAGTCCGAAATGTATGGGCATTTAAAAAGTCATTTCTGCATAGGAACGCGTTCCGCAAGGAATAAGTTGATTGGCAAATATTTTATACCCGACCAACTGCATGGGGATTCCCAACGATACGCTTCAATTGATTGATGATTCTACCTTTTTTCCATTCATATTTCGTTTTCTCTGTATATCTCTCTCTCACACTCACATACTCTCGGGCAAACACGCACAAACTCTTCGGAAGCAGGAAGATGCATGATCCGTGATATGACCGGCTACATGCCATAAATTCAAACCATTTTTCTAAAATTCTATATTGTGAAAAACGAATGCAATTTGTCTACATTTATTTGTAATAATATATTCTATAATGTATCATTTTCGACCATTAAAAAAATATTTTTTATTGTTAAATTTCATCTATGTTTAATTCCATTCATTAATGTAAAAATACATGCAAATATCATTTTTATTATTATTACCTGAAATTTAAATACAATTAATTCATGATTATCTATATTTTCAATATGAGTAGTAGATATGCATGTTATATGAATGAGATCTCTATAGAAAAGTGAAATTCTTATGGATCCACCAACTTTTCTACTAATAAAGAACACAATTTATGTTTTCAGTGTTTATTCCATACTATCTATGTTCATAATAATAACATTTATTGCAACAAATTATACTATTCAGTCTTCATCGTTGGCCAGAGTAACACTTCGTTTGATTCGACATGGAACGGAAAAGGTGATAATCTATTGGCGTAAGGTCCGGAGAGTATGGAGGATAGAACACCCATTAGAGTTGATTGAGAGACTCCTTGACGATGATTTCAAGAAATTATTCATTTGTAGCAATATTTTTCATAATAGTGGATAACTATAAAATCCAAATTATTGATGGACTTATGAACATATATGAGACAAAGAGTGTAGACTTTTTGAATTAATAAAAATTATAAATATAATCACGAATAATAATATTTATAAAAAAAACTTTCCTTAAGGAACATCGAAATTCAATATTCCATAGTTGGAAAACAAATAAAAAAATGTATACAATAATTAATTCCGCCTTTTGCCTGTTACTTAAATATACTATTATTAAATTATGTTTTCCGTGATGCAATAACTTCGAAACCGTTTAGATTCATGTTATGGAAATCTCAACATTTATTTGAATTAGGTTAACATTACTCTTGTGTTTTTTTTTCGCTTTTCGAGTCCATATATTAGTGATAAGAATAACTGCCGGGAGGGATAATTAAAAACAAGTACATGCGACACCATAAATTACATTAATTATATTTTTAATGTTCGTCGTCGTAAATTCCGGATACGTCAAATGTGTTTAAGGTCTATTTGCGGACTAATTACCAGCAATTATTTTAGTAGCTTTATTTCGTTCTCATTAAACCAACAGAAAATGTATTTCTTCACAACTGAAAAAAAAATAAATATATAACTGGATAAATTATCACATTTGATTATATTTTATTTTATTCCAGTTTTTTTCTGTTTAGGTCACTTGAATTACATCAAAAGCCTATTCACAACCTTTGTTCAAACGTACATTTCAAATATATTTTTCATTTGGAATTTGCTTTTATCCAAGAAAAAAAAACATGTAAACATTGTGAATTTCATTCGTTTGATTATTTTTTGAATATTTAATAAAACTCAATACTCAAAACGAAAACATTTCATTAATTTCTATAAAATTTGATATTTGATAATTAAAATGTATTTAATTGATACTTTAGTTTTATTTAATTCGATCTATTTAAGTACGAAACGAAAGACACTGAAAAAATAGGTTTCAAGATTGGTAGAGAATGTAAGATTTACGTGGCACGAATTTGAAATTGCCCCGAGGAACTTAATGGCGTGGAAATAAACAGTCCGAATAATTAATTCGTTAGATGGATAAACAATTACAGTATGGAAATTGCAATTGCTCTCGCGCGCGGCATGTAAAACATGCAACTGTAGAAACTATTAAACTTATGCAACAACTTTAATTAACTGGCGAATTAGTCGGGCGGAAGGGCACGTCTATTAGCTGCTTTGAGGAGAGCCGCACGGTTGGAAGTAGTCTCAGACAGGAGTAGTAGTGTAGTGTATATGGTGGAATATAGGGAAGGCATGACGAGGGAATGAATCAAATCGGTACTCACCTCTTTGCCATCTCGATTTTTCCATCTGATCCACTTTGCGAATCCGGGACGCCAATATTCTATCATATATTCCTCGGCATATTCCTGACCTTGTCCATTCCCGAAGCGCCCCTGCGTCTTTCCAGCTGTTATCACATACAATCCATCCAGGCTGATCTCCAAATATTCCTTGGCATCGCGTGAAACCATCTGTCTCGGACACCAGGCTCCACCGTTTTTATCATTTCGAAGTCTGCATGGTGGAAAAGACAGAAAGAAATGAATATAATATAGATATTATCAGCCATTCATATTATACTGTTACACATTTCAGAATAATGTCACTATATTTGTTACATTAGATCACTTTGATTATTTTTTTAGTAACTTAATAATAATTGAAATATTGGGAAGCCTAAATATAATAAGAATTGATGAATGTGTATAATCTGCTGTACGATCTGCTTTGTTTTTACATAATTGTAATTAAGTACACCTGAAAAGATTATGCTTTTGGTGCAAAATGGAGCCAATAAAAATTGAAAATAAATAATAAGACCTTTCTAGTCACAAATATATGAATTTAAGTTTTATGGAATTGTCCAATATTCAGAATTTGATAATGTTCAATTAAAACTATTTATTTTCTTCCACGATAAAAAAATGAAATACAAATACCTGTAGTTAATACCTAGTACTTTCATATACAATATGTCGAATAAAGTTATTTTGATTAAGACGGACAATATGTAGTATATTAACACATAGTAAATAGATAAAATGAGAGTAGAGTGAAATATCAAATTAACGTTAAACGAAATCTTACTGTACTTGTAACTTGAATCTTTTAAATAACTTTATCTGTATTATTAAGAAACATTCCTTACTACAAATATTAATACAATTATCAATTACTAATAATTAACAGATAGACATATAGAAATAAACGTAGTTTATATTATTAATTTTAATCCAGAATAATTTTCTAATTTTGAGATATGATATTATTATGCAACTATAATTAATATGAAGGGCATAACCATAATTAGTTGAAATGATAATGTACGTATTTGTCTATATAATTAATTATATGTTTATTTGGCTATATCTGCTTAAAAGTATTTTTATTATATACATATGTATTTGATTTGTTCCATTAATGGATTTACATCTCAAACTCCTCGGTTTCCGAACAAAATATTGGTTCAATATTGATGTGTCCAATTTGAGCAATTTGGCAACTTAACTTTAAGTTCAGTATCTATTCTTGAATTGTAATTCAATTAATTTTCGTGTGCCAGAAAATCATGTGGAATCAGCCTCGTAGGCCCCAAAAATTGTTATGAGCTCTAATGGATAAGACGGCCCTGGATGTACGGCGTGAGAAAATAAATTAATCTGAATTAAATTTTGGTCTACATTTTTATTATACTATTGAATATTTTCTGTATTTTTATTATTCAATTTTATATAAATTAATATTATAAATTTCTCCGAGCACATGTTGACGAACGTAATTAAATTAGAAGTTAATTAAAATGCAAATATAAAGGTATATATTTTAGTATAATTAATATTCATGTCGGTATTGTAATTAGATGGAATTCTTGAAACACTAATTGAAATTATTTGAATGCAAATTATGTAGCTTTGTGCAAGTGTTTTGTCCGGCCGTTGAATTCTAGTGAAATGTGGTTGCGAAAGCATGCACCTCACTTCATTTGTGAGCTGCCTCCCGCAGCGGAGGGTGCTCTTTGCATTCGGAAAATTGCACGAAATATTTAGTAGATCGTTACCGAGTAATTCGACGAACATTAATCCACCACAGTTGCAGATGAATTATTATGAGAATCGTTAAATATTTGATATATGACGCGCGGCCCCCGGCAGGCCGCGCCGCTAATGCATTGCGAAAATATTATGCAATCGTAAATTAAAAATCAACTAAATTTTTGTTACGAATGGCTTTTCCAATTATATATTTCATGTTTGAAACAACGATTTTGCATTCGCTCAAGGACAATTACATATTACCTATTAAGTATAATTGAAATAACATTTGTAATTATCTGAAAATCAATAAAATACTGATTTAAATAGCAAAATATTATCTAATAATAATAATTTTAAGCTAGCTTTTTTGGGAATTTGTTAACTTTAGGCTAAACTAAGTTTATTTGAGGGCCCTCATATAGTACTGTTTGGGGCCCCACGACTTTTGGATGCTCTCGACTAAAAATCTTTAGGGGCCCACGACAGATTGGGGCCTTCGGATATTTTTTTTTGTTTGCACATCGTTCGCTGATCAGCTTAATAGTTAAGTATAATAATTCGCTGTTTTCAGAAGCAAATATTATAAATTTATTTCCAAGATTAGATAGCTTTTTGACCTAAATTAGAGCCAGTAAAGATGTGTAAATAAATAAAAATTAAATTAAGAATTCTGTTTTCTATTTGTATATATAAATAATGTTTAAAAAAATACATTTGTGAGAGTGAAGAATGGATTATATTTTTATATTTTTTCAGGACAGACGGAAGATTCAGTTGATCTTTTTTGGTAAAACTGTTTAGGTTCCTTTTGAATCTCCAAATATGTATATTATTTATTTGTATTGATAGTATTATAGATCTAATTGTAAAAATAGTTACATTTTTCCGTGCATTATTTTCTTTGAATTAATTTTTGCTAAAGTCAAAATGTATAGTGAACAATTCATTAATGTACTTATTCATTTTAACAGCAATATCTCAATGTTCTAAGCTCACAAAACATTTAATAGCAATTAAAAAAATAATAAGAATATTTCGTGAAATGCGCTAAGCGACTTTATTATTAAGCGCAAATCTCTCTAATGCGCGTCAATCTTCAAAGGAGATTTTATTAATCTCCTTTGTACTATCCTTAAAGGGAAGTTATAATTTTAATTCCTAGTTCCATAAAATCGGGAACGGTAAACTTCTTTACATATATACGAAATCGCTGACTGATATAGATTTTAAATATTTTTTTATTTCTAGTCTATATTCGTACTAAATTCATTAAATATTTAATATAGTTTTCATACTCATCTCTATTTTATAAAATCTCAATAAAATTAGTTTATTGTATAAATTTCAAAATGTTAACATTTAATTATAAAACATCTATTACTCATAAATTTGATATTATAATTGTCAATAATTTTATATTATAAATAATTATATCACAAAAAAGAACTATGTTGGGTCTTGCAGCAAAAATGTTTAAAAACTACTCTACATCACATTATCAATATAAAGTATTTTTTTATATTTATAATCTTCAATGTAACTTATAATAATAATTCGACAGATTTTATAACAGTTTCTATAATTATGAAATTATATTATTTAATATTAATAAATAGTTACAACATATATTTTCTTAGTTCATATAAACACTTGTCTACAATTTATAAAACTTGTTATGAAATAGTAAAAAATATCACTTTGTGTTTCTTTCTCTATCCCATTTTCACTGAAATCTTTCTATTCCTGGATTTTTAATTTCTTTATTAAATATCTTTATAAAAGGTGAATTGTATTTTAATGATTTAGAAATCATTCCTTATATTGTTTAATTCATTTCTCCTAGATTTATAAGTTATTACAATATAAATTTAATTTCCAAGTAGGACAATGTGTTGTTATGTATTTTATGCTTTTAGTTATCACACATATTTTTTTAGAAAATGTACTCCAATTATGTACTTTCTAATATAATCGAAAACTTTATATTTTCTGTTTGCTTGCCTTGAGGCTTTTATTCCATATATATAGTTGTTCTTTTTTCATTTGTTTGTTGTTCGACAGAGACCTGGGGTTTTTGGAGAGAGAAGCTACTGTAAAAGTTTCCAACCGAAGCTCTGTACTTTTTTTTTATTCATCAATACAAAACATCTGGATACATATATGCACACAAACACATATATGCAGCTATTACTACTAACACATACACAGATAGATACAAACACCCGCATATACCGAGGGAACCATAGTGGTACAATTGCGGAATCTGCGGGAAACGGACAAAACAAAATAGAACACTGATAATTACTCTTTGATAGCCGGCAAAAATATACATTTTACATCAACGGCTGTGGGCAACCATCGTAATTGCGAAAGCAAATTCGAAATAGCTAAAAACCGTTTCGCATTAAACGCGATTTACTGCACATAAAATACAAACACAGACAGACGCACACAGAACCTTGCAAACAATATGACTTGTATCTGCTATCTCCGAATTCAGTTACGTTTAGTTTTAGGGGTGGAACGTACGGTTTCGTGGCGGTAAAAAAAAGTACGCACTACGTGAATAAAAAAGGCCGGTAGAGGCAAAAAAAGGAATAACTGTATACTACATTCGTAGGGCTTGCGTTTTGCCGTTCACCCTCACGGTACAGGTAAAATCGTAAAATGTCCAAACGATGATAGAATGAAACGATGGAAATACATTCCGCTAAAAGCATTTCAGGATCTACTTGAAATTTAAGTGACTTAAGGCCAAGGGAACTATCGATTGCATAAGGGAAATACATTTTTTCACATGACATTTTTTTCATAGAAAAAAAAACACTTTTAGCATTGCCAGGAAATGATGTATTTAAATTGTTTTTATAAAATATATTTGTAATAATAATATAAAATTTTAATTTACCTTCCAATTTTAAAATAAGTTAAAAAATATCTTATGTAAAGTCATAATTAAGACTTCTATTACGGTTTTTCGGTATTCTTTATTGTCAATTTTGACAACAAATACTATGTACTAGATCTGCATATCTAAAAAGTGTTTTACCAAGACTGGTCGATTTTTTGATTATAATTTTGTTAATATAATTTAGTTGTTTCATATTTGTTAATTTACTTGTTTATCAATAAATAAAATTGATTTCTATTTGATTGTTAATATATTAAACTTTTAATAAAACTTAATACGCTTTTGCTAATCACTTCATTGGATATATATAGAAATATTCCTTGGTAATTAGTAGTATATAATTTATGGTGGAAGTGCCGGGCAAGTGTCAAAAAGTACCCAAACTATAACAACTTTGAAAAACTAGAAATTATTTTTTATATTTTAGTCCAATTAAATGTTCTTTTTAAATTTAAAACATTATCAACTATATATTAATTTACTACCATAAATAAGCAATTTTAAAAATGAATGTATATTTAAATTTTACAGCTTACGAAAATAATTACATGGATAATAATATTTGGTTCATTATAAAGATTAAATACCATTCCATAGCATAATTATTTTGTCTAACACTTAAGAACTTTTGCAAACAATTGTAATAATAACAAATATATCAATATTACTTATTAAAACTGTATTAACATAAATGCTTTATTCAATGATATAAATTAGAAATTTTACTATATCTGATGGAAATCAATTGGACCTTAGGTTTATCTGACTTTACCACTACTGATACATATATGTACCACTCAGTTTAATGTCAAGATTAAGGGAATTTTATCAGGTTATATTGAGGGGTATACATTTGCGTTAATGGTACTTATATGTACTACTACCACCTCATATACTTGGATGTTACTCCCGCCTTTTTAAATGTAAAAACGTTCATACAGTTACACCAAAAAATATGAATATAAAGTGATGTAATATTTAACTCACAGATTCTAGTTAAAATAAAATGGAAATAATTTAATGTTCCTTGGACGGCCCAGTACCTCGACCGTTCAGAAACATTACGAAAGATATTTATGTAACCATAATAATGAAATAGGAAAAATATTACAAAGAGCTATAGATTATTAATGTATATTGACTTAAATCAGTTACTTTTTTATGTTTATTTTTACAAGATGTGCGAGTTGTCAATAAAATATAAAATCTGAATTAAAATTTAAATGACGTAAAGGAAATTGTATCTAAATATTAGACAAATATATACATATTTCTTTTTATACTAATACCAAGCATAGTGTAACTTTGATCAGTACAGTTTCACTATATGAATGTAGTTTGAAAATCTCAAAACAAACTAAATTTTAATTCAATAATTAAAAAATAAATTTTACAAAATTAGTTCTCAAAATTAATTTTTATTTGTAAATCATCATTCTTTTGTAAATCCCTAGATTTGCCAGGTTTCACATAATGCGGGATATTGGCGGAACCGATAAATCGTACTGTAAAAGTTATTTCTATTTTTCATTAAACAGAACACATGTAACAAATAAACGTTCAGTGAATAGGAGAATTGTATTATTGCTGTCTTTGATGTATGCAATGATACATCATGACTTCGAATCTCACAGGTCTAAAGTGCTTTCCAGTATTATTAATATTGTCTGATTGACTTGGCGTGAAATTTAATTTGAATCTACAATCGAATATCTCACAAAATTCCAATATATAAATCCTAGAATATATTACAACGTTTTTATACTTTTTCACATGCAGACATTTTGTACATTATTTAATATTATTTTAAGCTAATTCTTGTATGTTTAATAATTAATTATTATTACAAAATTTATTTTTGAATAATTCACGTGTAAAATTAATAAATTATTTCATTCACGTTAGTAACGCAATAAAATTAATTTGTAGCATATTGTAAATTAATTGTTTTGATTATTAATAATGAATATAAAATGATTGAATATAAGTTATTTATTTAGAATTAATGATTAAAAGTTAAATAAAATATTAATTTTTAATATTGTTACTGCATACAATAAATTTTGTTTATTATAATAGTTACTATATTAATGGATATAATAATAATTAAGTAAGATTAATGTCCTCGATAAATTATTTAATGAAGTATATTATGTAATTTGCGCTAGTCTATTGTCTGAAACAGATAGTGTTCTGGATATTCAATATAGCAAGACTTTGGGTTACGTATAACATAATTGGGATGTAAATCTGATATAGCATATTACATGTTAAAAGCAAGAGAACATCCACCTGTGCTTATGTACAATAACCATGGAACTAATTATTACTATAATTACCCGATTATGTTTTCAATTCAGTGTTGTTGTATTTGCATATGAATAATGTTATGTTATTGATTAAGATTAGTTGTGTGCCGAATTTGGAACGGATGGAGGAACATACTGGCAAACATGCAGGATAATTTATACCTTCCGTGTTGGGGCCCTACGCTACCGGAATCGTACGCCGAGCTGGCCGTTATTGCGGAGTCCTTGATGGCCCCCGATTCCATTCCTAAGGCCGAGCCACATAATCCTGCAATAAAAAACAAAAGGAACCCGTTGAAAATTAGCTTTTCAGCATTGCAATAAAATGTACTGATTTTATTGTCACAGCGACCAAGCATGGAACAACAGCAGCAGCAAAAAAAAAATATGTAATAAAAACGTTATAAAGGTCGTAATGCCTTTACTTAATCTTTGCGCCTGGATCCGCTGCAAGAAACAAAATGTAATAAAACAGTCTGATTTATTCTGCAAATTTATGAATTCGTTTTTACATATTTTTTCTACCTTGAACGATAAAATACAATACAGTTTAACGGTATATTCAAATATTTGAAGTTTCATATATCGCTCATACAACACGGTGGTTACCTTCCAAATGTAATATGTGCTTAACACACTGTTGAGTGAGAGGAATCCATTCAATCTTTTTAATCGTGTTAGAGCAAAGTCATGTAGTGAAAGTACTATATTATACGATGGAAATCTTTCATAGTCCGGCTTCGATTAGTCCGCATTAACTATAGACCGGTTTGAAACTCTTTAAATAAACTAGATTTTAATTAAATTATTGATTTTTCATCTTATACAATCAAGTCTTATTTTAATGCTTCATTTAGTTCCTCAAATATTCCGGTTTCAAATAGTACGAGATATTGTCCGAATCAATTACACGGTCTATGCGAGGTATTACTTTATGTATATATATATATAATATGGATATGATTATTTGTCGCATTGTCATATCTGTAGTGGTTTTATTTATATAATTTATTAATTAATTTCAATTTTTGCAGCGATAAAATTTTAATTAAAATACTTTATATTTGATTATATTCAATCTATAAAAATCAAATAAATTTCATAAATGCATTAACTGTTTTTTTATGATATCAAAAGATGTGTATATATATGCAGTAATTCAGCATTCTCATACATCAAACTAATAAAGAAAATAGTACACTAATTTATTTATATTATTTTCATTTATACAGTCTCTTTTTGTGCGGGTTATTGGCGGAACCGATTATACAGACAATTAGAGTTATTGTTATTAAATATGTTCAAAATCAGATTATTTAACTTAATTTTTTTAAATTATTATTATTACATAATTATAAGAAATTAAAAACTCTTTTGCCCAAATGGAGCCAATAAAAAGTAAAAATAGTTTCGGTAACAGAAAGCTATTTAAATTTGTTGTATTTATTTTTGTTTATAAATATTTACTATAATATATTTGAAAAAAATTATGGAGAAATATAAATATTTACCAAACTTTTTGTTTTAGACTTAAAAATAAGTTCATTATCGGAACTTGACTGACAAACATAGTTTGCCTGATGTAAAGTTAACTGATAAAATAACTTTGAGGATTAAGCGGCGGTTGGATGGAGTACTCTTGTTTTCCGGTAATCAATTATTAAGAAATGGTACAGTACATAGGGAGTAATAAAAAAGTACGTTATATTTAAGATAACTAAAATTATATCAATGGCCCATAGTTTAAGCGTAATAATGTCTATAAACAGAAGTTGTCTAGAAAAGCTACATCGGAAAACAGAATATTGTATTAAGTAATGTAGAGTACGATGATCTAATTCTAAGTATCATAGTGTCATTAGTAATGTATGATAAGTAGATAATAAACGCCGTCTTGAAACCCCAAACTATTTCTTCAAATTAACCCGTGCAACTTGGTCCTTCATCCAAAACATCCATTATTTCATCCAGTTAATTTGATTGGAGCGATTGACAATTTTCACATCTTTTATTATCTTCGATAATATTTTTTTTTTAAATAAATTATATCATTTTGTTAATGAACAAACAAATTTAACAAATCTTTACTCTAGTTTTGCTTTTATAAAAAAAATCATGTGATCCAAATTCAAAAACACTTTTTCACTACGCATGATAACCATAATATGTGTGTGTTGTACGATATCGCGAACAGTGTATACTCACCTTAATAGATAAAAAAATATCAAAGAAAATAGTAGACAGTTGTAGAATTGTCTTATAATTTCGTTTCAAACAATGAAATAAATTTAAATTATACAACATGCAAAAGTATACGCGCATCGAATATACATGTAATAATGTCTTACGATTTGCGAAATACATGAGTTTCATTCAATAACAAATTTAAAATGGTGCAGCAGATGAAGACCATTTTATTATTATTCCAGTCTCGATCGAAGCAGCGAATTGAAACGGATTGTTAACGCCCGAGTGTAATACTCTGATATACATGGAAACTCTCATAATAAATGCATGCATCTGATTCGCTTTTTAACAGTTATCGTAATAGTACAATCCAAGTGATGTCGTTTCTTAAAGAACAAGTTGCAATAACATTTGCACCAATTCTGCAGAGAATTTAAATCGAATTTGCGTATGCACAGCTCCGCACAGTTTATATGAGTTTCGAAAACCGCAATGCTAATAAGCGTTATAATTATATTCAGAGTACATAATTTCGCAGTTAATTTTCTAAATAATATTTATATATACAACAATTCTAAACAATTAATATACATTTTTTTATACATAAATTATGGTTCGTGATTACTCCGGTTTCAAACATTCGGAGATTTTAGTGAATCTGAAAAACCCGGACTATGCGAGGTATTTTATAAAATTGTGAAATTATTTAAAAACAAAATTACTTTTCTGCTTTTTGTTTTTTTTTTGCATTTAGAATGATTTATCTAGATTGAAACTTACTTAAATTTCTTCTTTATAATTTTACAAATTTTGTATATTTAAACAATGAATGTAATTAACAATGATGTTGCTAATGGAAAACCCGCCAATCACGTACGGCAAATTAAATGGACAGCATCAACTCAATTCGAACGGCTGAAATACTGAAATTCATTCCAAAATGTCCCAACTGTGTCACGAATTAATTTTACGGACACACAAATACCTATAATATATGAATCCATATAAATTCAATATAAATAGTTTGTATTATTGAGATATTTATAGTCTGAAAAGCCGGTTACGTCGGGGGTATTTGTATAAGAGAAATTTGCCTGTCGATTTAGTGCGGCAGTAAAGGGGATGTTTTAGTTGATATCGGGGGATAGCGTACCAACAAATGCATGGCTATACGGGGAAAGGGAACGAGGAGAAAAGGGGGAAGTCCTAACAGTTTTCAACGTTTAACAGTCCGCTGATAAGGACTCTCAAAACTATTCCAAAGTCATGTTTGCATTGCCAGTGTTATTGCTATTTGCTAATAGCCAACACTTGAATATACTGAATACTCAGTTCGGGAAAAATATATGTGTTAACCTAAGCTGATTTAACACAAATTAACTTAAACATAGGCAAATAGAAAAAAACTTTTAAAACGCGATGTTTTACTGTTTACAGAACGTTTTGGAAGGAAACAGTGCATTGTATGTTTATTGTTTTTAATTAATTATATAAACTTTCCAATTATACCCAAACTATACAGTGATCATAAATGTTTTAATGAATATTATAAATTTTATTCCAAGATGTAATTAATAAAAAATATGGGTCGGGATCACCTGGCTCTGGAGCCACATGCGGCTCTCTTGATGAGAAATTGTATTCACTAGTAATAATATCAATTTTAATGCTACATGCGGACCTCTAGACTCCCTAAATTAGTGATGGCAAACCTATGACCCACGGGTCAGACACTGACCTACGCAGGCTATTTAAATGATCCATGCGTTGATTTTTATAAACTTATTTTTATATCATAATAACCAGTTTTTAACCATTTTATTCTCTCCTCTTTCCAAGTGATGTCTGTGACTAAGTGACCCATGAAGTACTACTAAAAAAATGAATAAAATGTTGATCCTCTTCTCAGCCATCGCTGCCATAGACCGTAAATAAAACAATATATTAAAAAGTAGGTACTATAGAAAATTAAAAAAATCGCACTTAAAAAGTACTACAAAGATTTACGAAATACATGAGAAAATTCATCCAAACCAAATAAATAATTAAATTACATATTATAAAAACATTTAGTTTCTCATTGTACATATGGAGAAATTTTCATAATGCACATACATAATTCACTAGTACTCGTGATAATCCAAAACGCGCATCTTGTTGCTATGAATTACTTCAAAATCGACTAACATACTGCTTTGAGCAGACTGTACATATGCACACTGATATAACACATTACAATGTTGCCAACACCGTTGGAATTGGTTGGATTTCAATTACCGTATAAAAAAAATCGCATAAAAGAGGACAGCACAAAAACAGGTTATACTGTACTTTGCAATCAAAAAACTTTATATATTTCTGCTTTTGAGTGGAACTTCACAAAATAGTCGATGATGAGAGAAAAGGGCGAAAGAAATAGGTGAGCGTAAAGATTAAGGAGCGTTGGCTTTAAGGTGGAGGCTTACGAATGTTGCGTAATCCGCTAAAGGGTTGTTTGAAAATTTCCACCCGGCTAAATGCAAGTCGCTTCTCTGCTTCTTTCCATCAAAAGAACCGCTGATTTTTAACATCCTATTTATTCCAACAGGACGAATGGATTCAACAAACGAACGACAAAAATATAAAAATAAACAAAACAAATATTGCAGCACGCACGTATAAATTCACTACATCCGAAATGCGAAATAATTAAACTCCATCCGGTCCAATTGATTTATACACAAACGTTTACATAATTAATAGCAATAAACCGAATATGCGAATGCAGTGCCTATCGCTGTTTGCTCACATTTTTGCAAGCCGGAAAAAAATATTGCGCGGATTAAAAAATTAATGGTCCCGCATCAACTTTACAATATATCAAATCGGAACAATAAATATCTGCTGTTGACGCACAGGGATTTTCAAATATTATTAATCACTATTTAATTATAATAGATAATCCCGTGCATAAATAATGAAAAACCAATCAGTTATTGGACACGAAGGGTGAAGTAAAATAATACAAAAAAAAGCAACATAATGAAAATAAACAAGAGGAAGGGTGGAAAATGCACGATAAAAGCAACGCAACAAACAAGG